TTCTAAAATTTTGGTATTCATAAACAACGCAACAATACCTCCGACATTTCTTTTGTGTCTTTAAATCTCTTAAAGTAGCTATTTATTAGCATGCTTTGGTCCATGCATTGGTGTCTGTTTGCGGGTGATGACCAGTCCTTCGTAAATTCCGAATTCTTTCATGAGTTCGGTAACATACCGTAAAAAGAATCGGGCGAGGACATGCCGCCCTCGAATGGGGTTTTTCATTTCGAGGACTCGTACTAATTTGTTGGAACAAGAGACTTCCTGTTCTGACGTTTCATAGCTGTAGCCGAGCAAATTGGCAGCATCATATGGCAGTTCTTTAGAAAGACGCAAGAACAAAAACGTGGTTGTAGATTTTGTCCAACTGTATTTTCTTCCTATAAGTCAGTATCCGTAATTCCTTTCTGTTTGTCGATAATAACATTGTAATTTTCATTTTTTCTCCCTGATGTCTAATTAAAACTAATTTTTACAAGCTCTTTTGTGGAACAGATTCAACATCTTTCTAACATAAAAGGTAAAAGCGGATAAAGATCAAATTGACTTTAAACGCGTGGGCAGCCTTATTTTGAACTCTTCTAAGCAAGACGCTTTTATAATTATAAACTTAAAAAGTGGAGTGAAGCTTTGATAAATAGTGTAAAGGCATTCAAAACGCTGTTTTAAATAAAGTTTGATAATTTAGCACGCCACTACAATATTTGTGAAGATCTAAACGCTGGTCATGTAAGTTTTCATGTTTTAGGTCAAAAAACGCATTCCAAATCGCAAAATTATGAAAAAGCAAAAAGTACCTGTCCCAGGCCTTACAATGTATCACACCAACTTTTCACTTCCAGAAAGGACAAAAAAGTTGTCTTTTCCAAAAGTGAATAGGTCACTCGACCACTCCGTTAAGGAAAATTCTCACGAACATTAAATAGATGAGAATGCCCACAAGCGCATCGTAAAAGGTAAATTGGAAACTAAGGAAAGAAAATAAATGTCCTAGTGATATTTCAAAGAAAACACGTTGCACTTAAACAAAAGTAAAAATTGATTCTTAATTTGTTTGCGTCTTTAAACTGACCTCTCAAAGAGGCCAACACTCCTGTTCGCTTTTTAAGTATGGTAGAAAGGACGATTTTAAGATGTTTTCAACTCATATTTCGTGAGAGTGTTTTTATTATGCGGTACTTAATCAACGTTCGAAACGTTCGAAATTTTCGTAAGCTGATATATAAGTTTGCTAAGTTAATTTAATTACTTTGGATAAATCCAAGGAATTTTTTTCGACGAAACCGGGAAAGACATACATTTACGAAGACATTTGCACTTATTGTCTGGAAGGAAGTATATCCGTTCGAGTGCTCCGCGTCTCCCAACATGACGCCCACCACACACATGACTTCACAGCTCTTCATCCTAAGTAAGGAATGACTGCTATAGTGTCCGCTGAGCATGAATCGGTAAGGCAAAATCCGTCATGTCCTCATTAACGAATCAATAAATATCAGTCTTGTATCTTCACTCACGCGACAAAACTTTAAGCACATCAATTAGAGGCTTATAACAGTGATGTCCCACAGCCATCTCTTATTTCGCTATGCGACTCCCTGACTTCCAGTGCCTGATTGGACAATGGCACAGCTGTGGATGCAACTCATAAAGAAATTTGGGAGACATCACACGCATTCCGTTTCGCCCGCTTTATCAGAACTTCATTTCTTGATGTCAGACAGTCGATGAGACTGCAAGGGTCGTAATCTAACTCCTGCCCAACTGGGGTGCGAACAACTGGAGTGACCCTGTTTGCGCCGACCCCCCCCCTATCCACGCTGGTTTTATTTTGTATTGTGAAACGGGGAAAATGATTTTGACTGACAAACTACGTCCTCTTTGTTTGCCCGTGTGCCTGTTTGCATGGGATAATTTGTTGAATTGAGGTCAGTTGCATATTTTCTGCAATGCAACTTTCCATTTAAACTCTGCCAACGCACTTTAAGTGCATTATTCCATCTACCACCGTCCACTGAAGCAATCCTGCAAACTTTGTGGTGAGGTAGGTTTACAGTCTTGTGGAAAAGCCCAATAGTTTTGGGAATAAAGCAACGATTGCAATCTATTAACGTACTTTGCGGCCGTTGAGCATAGCTACTTCACAGAGTCGTAGTTCAGTTTTCTTAATTTTGGGTGTGGTTAACTGGTCCTAATTAAACTTACTTAGCTTATAGCTCTATCCCTTCTGTGCGCAAAGCACTCACATTATCCCACGTAAATTAAGGCCTGTCATGGACATCGTTAGAGAACTCTAATACAAAGATGTTATCAGTGGACGATTGATATGCTATTCAAAACATGCACTGCTCATAACCGCCTGGGTTGCTTTTCACGTTGGCTCCCTGAAAAGAGCTCTTAGGAGGTTACTAACGTTCATTTGGCTGCGATTCTGTCAACTGAAAAAATCAAGACTGCAGAAGAGGTTTTAGTGAAATACTATTACATGCAGATCGAGGACTCGTGCTATCACTCGCCAGCGGCGTATTTGGAAATGCGATAAAAAGTTTAAAGGTGGGGGAA